GTAATTTGTGCACCAACTAGCCTACTGTTACCAAACGGAATTACAGACACAATGACTTTTTGTCTAAATACGTTCTTCACAACTATATACAAAATAATTAGACGTCCCTAGTAACTCATTACATCATTAGTATCAACAACTTGGTGGAAATATTACCAATATCTTCAATAACAACCATTTGGAATAAAAAGAAAGTTGACTGTTTATTTGTTTGACAAGTGTGGACTGTTTAACATGATAAATCAACAGAATTTTTTTAATTCCCATATTAATATTTTCACCACTTTGTGGTTAGCATTATATGCTCAAGCCCCACATTTATCAGAATCATCTGTACAGAAGATGCCAATAAAGCATGAATACTGTCATACTAGTTACAGGGCCGTCGCTAGGAATTCTGGGCCCTGTGCACTGAATTTGCTATGGGGCCCCCTCAAACTTACGTTCGGTGGAGGGGGTGGGGGGGCAGTGGTATGAGTTGCAATCTGGGGGATGGACTGGGGTTTAAAATTTTGCTCTGGACAAATCGAGCCAATCCGGCCCACAAATTCCCTCTTGAATGTTTTGATGGGTCATAGGGCCTTCAATTGGAGTAAATAAATGAATACATAAAACAGGACAAAAACGAATACTGATAGATATGACTGAATTCACGACAAATGCAACGAACTTAATAATACATTTTTGTCACATAGAAAAGCACATGACAGTAAAGCATTGATTTTGAGCTAGACTGCTGGAAAGTTACTGCTAATAAATTCTGTCATCATTTCCTCACCCTCATGTTGTTACAAACGACTATCTTCTGTTGAACACAAAAGAAGATTTTGTAGAATGCTACCAAACCATTTTGGTTACCCTTGATTTCTACTGTATAGACAAAAATTTCTTGAATTTCTCAAATTATGTTCCACAGAAGAAAGAAATACATATAGGTTTGGAATGACATGATGTTGAGTAAATTATGACAATTTTCATTTTTCGGTGAATCTCCCTTTAAGAACTTTATTATTTGTAAATAATAAACAACTAATTTATATAAGACACTGATATTTATCTTTAATCAGGCCCTTATTTAATTAACATTTTACTTAAATGTAAATTCATTAGAACCTAACATCTAAAAAGAAGTTCTTGTTTAAAATGCAGTTTTCCAATATACCTAATTAGGTATACCCAATATACCTAACCTGGCTCTTTTCAGCCAGCATCACTACAGAACCTTTAATGTTCTCATATCACACGACTGTATAACAATTCCGTGTCACATCTGAATGGATCAAGCGACTTGCGCTGTTTATCACTTATAAATCGTGGCAGAAGCACGGCGCTGTGCGGGTGACTGATCCCGCTCTGCTTTGACGTGCGGCTGGCGGATGCATCGGGTAGCGCTGATTCACACTTTTGGAGTATTTGCTTTATGTGGTTTCGCATGCGCTGTAATTTAAAAACAGTGCCTAATATCGGGGAGGTCTCCCTCGTTTCGGCGATCGGCCCACTACTTGAATGGAATGTCCCGGTGCTCCCGATGGCCAGTATCTATGTAACTATGTAACTATGCGTTTAAAGCAAGTTTCTAAAAAAAGGTATTTATTACATTCAATAAAGTGCTCTACAACAACGAATTACCTGCCAAAGTCCCGTAAACTCCAGCTTCAACAAGACTAAGAGTCTTCCGACTTCCAGGAATATGAACAACCATATAACGTCCCACCATCCCACCGCATGAGAATGTGGCCGTGCCACTGTTTCCAAGAGTAGAAATCACACCACATCTACACAAAGAAATTTCTGTTCATCCTTCACTTCAGCCACAGAAATCAAATCAAAAGAAAGAAATTCTCACATGGTGTTGCTGTAAATGTCAAGAAAGTTCCCGATACGAATCACAGCTCCGTTTATCCTGGAACCAAGGCTCGGTCTATTAGTGATGGTGACTCTTTTCACGCTGTATACTTTCAGTAGATCAACTCTCCACCACGGGTTGGTCTGATCATTAGTGTGGGTCCAGCTGGTCAACGATCCATCAAGAGCCAATTCAGGTCCAGAGCCCGCGTAAGTTGATGACTGACTAGATTTGCCCCATAGTGCTACATTCTCTGGAAAAATTTAATGGATAAAGGTCAATAAGAAGTCATCTACTACTGCAGAAGACTTTTACCAAACTCTTTATTACTCATCATCAGCAACATGTCCACCACAGGGTCAGAAATGAAGGGTTAAGGGTGCAAAACAGCTACAGATATTTAAAACACAAGGGTAAAAAATAATTATTACTTTTTTATTATTTTGGATAACAAACATTTGTTACTTATGTAGCATCTGCTTAAGATCATGGATGATCATTGGGGCTTTATGTCTTAGAAACCTTTTTAGCCTTTTGACATTTGCATATAAATTACAGTCCTGGCCCCATATTCTACAGTTATATGGGTGCTAAATTGCCAATGGTTCCCCCCACTATCAAGGAGATGCTAAACAGTTTCACCACTCTCGTCTCCCCATCGAACTTCAAACACATTCCAAAGAGAAGTAAATGACCTCCGGTGCCAGGCACCAACGGCCTGGCTGACCAGCAAACTACCCCCATGCTCACAATACGCATAACACACAAAGACATTTTCTTTATTTTAGACTATAATTAATCAGTTACAAATGTTTCTGGTATATGCATGTGTTGTTTGTATGTTTCCCTATTAGATTAGCCTAGTTACCACTCGTTATTTGTATTAGTTCAGCTCTAAACGCTCATATTCAGGTGTGTGAATGTATCTCTGGTTTAATATCTTCTAGATGTTTCTTTCTTGGTATCAAAATGATCTGCTCTTTATTCCTCAAACAATGATGTACACTATGTGATCGTGAAATGCATCATACTATTTGTACAATATTTTGGGTAAAACTGCACCAATCCTCCA